ATTGCTTTGAGCACATTTAATAGCAAGTCTCTTTGATGAAGCGACGGCAATCCTTTAGAAGCAACATATTTATTAGAATGTGATTAATATAAATAGTTCTAGCCGTTAAACACCCCGTGATAAATGATCCTAGACGCAAAAAAGGCAGTCGACTCAAGCAAGATTTATCAGCAAATAATATCCGCAAGAAAAATCGTCTAACCTTTACATATAACGATATAATTTCATAACCTCTCCGCAAAAATGAGGAGTAAAAAACTCTACTACCGGCGGCAATTTTCGCCCCAACAAGATAATTGATTTTATTATTTCAAGGAATTCAGAACGATAAATGCTATTAGGGGCGCTTTATTTGTATTAAAGAGTTATATCTGGAAAATGACTTTCCTTCCAAATCGAAAGCTTAGCTCTGTAGCAAATCACAGTCAAAGTGCGTTAAACGAACCATCCCTAATTGTTCCGAGTCTCTTGAGACGCTTTTCCGACTGGTTTCTTTTCGTCACACACGCAAAATTTTCATTGCCGCATGTACGACCTACATTATGCAGAAAGGGCTGCATCTTGACTAAATGTCAAACGAGCACACGTGACTGGTTTGCTCGTTATATGTGAATTATGGATTATCACGGTGTAGGGGTTTTTCTAGGATAAATGGGAAGGTCGAAATGAATTATTTAAGAGGAGCTGAAATACTGTCATGAAAATGATTGTAAGGTAACTATCGTCAATGTACGAAGCGAATGAGAGTTGTTATCAAATTTGTAGCGTTGACACTTGACCTGGAAGAGAATTAATAACGATGTTTGTTGTCAACGGGTAGAGGTACCTTTCCTGCTGGTTTTTTCAAAGAACCTATAATTGTAACTAAATTAATTTGTAGAAATATTGAAATTTGCAGAAAATGCAGAAAGAAAGTGAGCACTTATACAACTTCCTGGAGACTTGAAAATATAAAATAACAGAGCTACACTAGTCGAACCTTGATAGTTAATAAAGAAAAATTTAGAACAAACTCAATCAGAAAATACAATTAAAACACAGTATACTTAAAAGTAGACAATGAGCAACTAAAACAACGTGGTAAATTCAAATATTTAGGAGTGATATTAGAGATGCAGAAGGGAAGTTAGAAAATGAAATAAATGAAAGAAAAAAATAAAAATCACATGACAGCACAGAAAATAGTTTTCTAATTAAAAAAAAATCTCCTAAAAATGTAAAAGCAGAGATAATACACTTACATATAAACACTAACACAAAGACAGAAAAGTTGAGGTGTAAATATAGAAATAAAATTCTTTGAGGAGAGAGAATATGGGAAAATGAAATTATGTCTTCGCAGCATATGAATAAAAAAACAGTATAACGTCATTATACTGATGATCTTTCATCTTCCTACAATACATCACTCAAAAAATAAAACTGTGTGTTGTGTTTTCCCGGCATACCCTACTCGATACTTTCCCCGATATCCCCTAGATATAAATTTCTCGGAATCTGCTTTTTGATAAAAATCGTTTAAAACCTAACTAAAACTATCTGAATCTTACCTAGAAACACACCACACCCACAGTAGTATCGTTGTAGCAGCATTTTTTCTGTATTTTCCCGAAAAAGTTTCCACAAAAATTCTTAACACAGACAAAAATTGCGGGTATCTACAACTGGTTTTCCACGCCACACGCATTACATTTTCACTAGCACACTGCAGTTTTTCTATATTTTTCAGTCGAAATTTGCGCGAGCAATCAGACAACGAAAAGTCTGAGGCGATCTAACCGGTTCACTGTTGCCAAGTTTCAAGAACATAGCCGTCTTGACCACGTACGGCAAACGTTTTTTCTCTTCAAAAATAACTAGAATAGGTTCAAACGTCTGCGGTGGGTTCGTAATTTTTATCATTCTTTAATATTCGATACTTTTAGGAATTTATTACACATAAATTATAATTTTTCTAATTTACTACCCGCTGAAGTTGGTAGCGCATCTGCCGCTAAGTTCACTGCATTGGCTCATAGTAGTAAATCCGTGGGGTTGGTTTTTGCAAACTTTGTTCCTTGTAATAGTTTAGTGCACAGCTCCGGTTGTTTATTAGGTTTTTGAATAATTTAAAGCGATAAACTTAATTTTGTGCGATTTTAATTCAAAGTACGGGGCGAGGACAAAGTGTGTTCTTTGATGGGATGAGGCAACGGATGCGGATGAAAAGGGTAAGGATATGTAAAAATATTCAGAGGAAGGGTTGTTGTAACAAAAATTCTTGTTTTCCCCAGTAAGTTCCGGCAAACACAAACATAAGACTCGTTAGGAAGCCGTGGTTAGAATGAATTTCATATAGGGGGGGTGATCGTGACAAAAGGACGAGATGGCTCTGATTGACACCATTCTGACTCTGTAAGAAGTATGCATAGAGTCAGAAAACGGTAATGAATATCTTTTTTATATACTGTGTGTTGTTTGAAAGCGAATGTGAGGTTATACAGGTTGCCTATGTTTTACGTGTGTTGTATTCTACTTTAGCCTAATAAATGTGTCGTGCACTGTATTTTAAAATTTCAAGAAAAAGATACACAGCCCTATAAAATATGTCTAAAGATAGCAGTACGTTTTTTTCTCAAAGTCGCAACACAAATTTCAAAATTAAGGTTAACGTAAGGAATTAGTGTTATCGAAAATTCTACCAGACCCATCTGAAATAATAGTGCAACTCTATAAACGATAACGTTGATCGTTTTTAAAATATTTAAAACGTTTATAAAAAGTTAGAATGCAGTAGGTCAATAACACTGTAACAATTTGGTGCTACATGGAACTGGAAACTCTGAATTATTTAAACGTATATGTAGGTACGAGCAAGCAGAATTTTGCGTCAAGCTTAAAATGCTTCCGTTTCCCCTTTGAGACTTTAAGTTTATTCACAAGTTGTTTACCTCGCCGTGTCAGTATTTACCGAAAAAGAAAACAAGAAATAAAAAACGCGTGTGCGGTTTAATTTAATTCGGGCAAAAGTTCGGCAATCACTTTTAAAGTTTGTTCGCAGAACTTAAAAACAACTATTCTTTGTTCACAGTTACTATCTTCGATTCGCTCGTGTCATGTAAAATACGATTAAAAGTTACGTTCGAAACTCCAACTCCCCAGATATACATATATATATTTTTAGTAATGTATTCACCTTCTCAAAACTCTTAAAGATTTATTCTTTTTATTGCCCCCGCCTGCCCCTGACTCATAAAACACTCCATTACTCTCATAATATCAACTTGTTATTTATGGCCCTATTTCACCGTCTGCGCCTCGCTCCACCCCACGATAAAAATTCAATGTTGTTGACACAAAAACCCCCCAAATCTCATTCCAGCATTCCCGATCTGGCCCAACTTATCCACCGGATGCAATCCAACTACTTCCCCCTAAACCCGCGATAATGAGGTTATTTGCAAAGCGGCGCTCCATTTCAACGTTCCACCAGATAAAATAACAAGGGACGGATTAAGCCCGGTAAGGTCCCATTAATCCTTCCAAGTTGTTGATGGGTTTTTCGCCGTCGATTTATCCCAATCATATTTAGTGGGCGATGAAGCAAAAGTTCCTAAAGGGATGACTTATTAATCCAACGCGCTAGAGTAATTAGAACCAACACGGGAGTTGCTCAGCGACGGCTCCCGACTTCGGGAACATCCGGGACACGCTTTTTCTAGTACGTGCTTTAATGTCCCGCGTATCTTAATGAATTATTGCGCGTAATTATGAGAGGATCATTGCTGACGATTCCGAACGTGTCGGGGGACGCTTCCGCTTCGTTACGGGGGTAATCTGGGGGAAAAAGTGAGCTTTTGTGACGAAACGTCGAGTTTGCTGGTATAGACGGAAGTTTTTTGTTGGGAAGAACGCGGCGTAGCCACAAAAACGATGTACGTGTTAAGAAATTGAAACCGGGATGCAGTCGGACTAATGAAAGGCCTCGTTAGTTTTGTTTGAACGGGTTTCGCTGGATTAACTTTATTATTCGGAAGCTAAGCTTTCAAATTATTGCTCGGAAATTGGGCTTCGGGATTTTAAAGCTCTTTCGACTGCTGGAACGTCTTGCGGACACTAATCGATGCGCAAGATTCGAGACATCCGAGACCGAAAAAATCGTATAATAGGCGACTCAGTGGTATTTTTCGTCGACGTAAACCTCAAACTCGTGTCGAAATAAAATAACGTATTGTCGTTCGGGGATTAATTTTCTAACTTTATCACCAGATAACGAACGAACTCGATCATGAATTTCACTTTAGAGGAGGATTTTTAAATGCTTTTGGGAACTAAGGCAACGACCCTGAGTCTCTTCCCCTAAAATTCCCGATTTACGTTCAGGCGTTTCTAGATTTTCCGGGATGTTTAAAGGTTTACACATGTTAGGGTGAGTAGTAAAAAACTATGGTGTCGTCTTTTGATCTTAATATCGATTTGTGTAATCCACGAAATGCGTCTAGTGGCCGAAGGCAGCAAAGCATCAACTCATATATTTCGTGATGTGTTCCACATCCGAGTATTTGCCAGCGATCGTAGTTAATTACCTTTAGGTTTCGCCAGTTTTACTCGTTCTCTGGCGGAAGAGAAAATAGATGAACGCAACTTCGCTTCTTCGTCAACTTGATCAAACTTTCCCAGTTAATCCTGGATTTCCTGGTGCATCAGTTCCAGATTGTCTAAGGTGCACGTTTGCCATATTGATCCCCCTTCAGTTTCCAAGACCGGCAGTTTCAATCTCCTCAAATCACAACTTGTTTATCATTACATAAATGGCGGAAGCGAGCCCATAAATCTCCGTGCCCAACTAAAACATACTAGAATCGGGGGATTTCCCGTCACGAAGTTAATTTTGACAGGTGTGAGTTGACAGTGACGGATACTCCCAAAAGTGCCTTCGGAGCCATGTTCGGAACTCGATAACATCAGGCAAAGGCGTAATATGAATTCACCTGGGGACGGGGAAGAAGAAAAAGACTACGGCTTTGTAAATACTCTAATAGAAACAATAAATAATCCAGCAAAACAATAACAACAATACTAAACATGTCACAGAGTAGGAATGTTGAGTAATTGACTTTATTCGTGTCTAGATTAGAAAATTAAGTACATCCAGAGAAAAACTACAAGTTGTGGAACGCCGACGTCCCTCTAAAACAATATAGATATGACCGTAACTATGTCTAAAATATCACATGTAGATCCTAAAAAGCTTTGTGCTTTTGTTAATTCATTAAAGCTTTCAGCTAGTAGTTCGATCTACGCAATTCTAATCCTTTAATCGCACCTTTTTTTTTTAATAATACTGAATGAATGGTAACAGTTATTTCACCTTATCAGAGTGGTTGTAAACGCGCTTCGCGTTTTCTTTTATGACGGCACTGAAACAGATTTCGGCATACTGGCCAATAGTAAAAAACAAAACGAGATTAAAAGTGCTGACTCAGCAGTTACGTTGGTATCGTATTATCGATCTTTTTTTTTTTTGAAGAATGTTTACAAAGGACGAACATTAAAATGTTGTAATTATAGAGGATAAACATGAATAATGAACAGTTAAGTATACCAAATGTGAAAGGTTGAGTATTAATTTTAATGTACACTTTTATAATATGCAGTTGAAAATGCTGCTTATTAAATGTATTTTTTGCAAGGTTTCAAACTTATTAAATTCCGCAAAAGCCGCCTTGACTTCCTCGCTCAACAAGTTACATTTTTAACGTTAAGATTTAATTGACGATTTACTGTAAACGGACACAAATGATAATCTCGTTTTTGCACTCTTACTAGGAAACGCACGGCAACATCGTCAAGAATACCACCTACACTAATAACGCTAAAATATCAAAAATATTAAATTTAATTCAATAGCGTTAAGTGCTCTCGAGTAATTTCCTCTCGAGTGTGCTCCAAACACGCAACAAATTAAATTAACTTGTAAGTGTCCCCACTAAAAAGTACTTAGTCGATCTCCGTAGCAAGAGTACGTTAATTAAATTCCGCCATGTCAAATTTTAAAATCAGAGGCGAAAAAACTAAGCATCGCGCTCAGTATCTTACAACTAACAAACTACTTTGTAAAGCGTCTATCTGAATACTTGCCATCACTCTTCAGAGAGCCAGACTCTATAAAAACAGCCTCCGGAACTATCTAATTTTTATACAAACGTTTGGTGTCAGAATTCCTACAATAAATAAAATAAATAACTCGGACAAACGTAACAATCGCATTTGTTTAACTACAACAACGTCCTGATCCAACGCTAGTGGCAACCGAAACTCAAGTCGAAACTAAACCCTATTCCATCGGACCCTTTACAAAATTTACAAAGCAATTAGTCTAGTCTTGCTGTTTTGCCACTTCTCCTGGAGCTTCCTGTGTTCTTCCAGGTCTTTCTCGGTGACGTTCCGAACCTGGCCTAATCTCCTCGGGTCCAAGTTGGCTCCTAAATTTTGCACGCCCTTGGCAAACTTCGTCAAAGGCGAGAAGACGAGATCCTTTGTAGCGCTGGCCACCGGGCTCGTGATGTTGCTTAATTTGTTCTTCAACGCCGATTCGCTCTGCGACTGCGATATGTTCAGAGCGACATCGTAGTCCGAATTCGAGCGTTTGTCGAACCTCGCTTCCACCGACGGTTTCAGATCCGCGTCGTCCACTTCTCCCGACGAGTGGCTCAATTTCTTGTCCAGTTTGAGCGTGTTCGGTGGCTGCTTCTTCGTATCGAACCCTTCTGAGTTGATCTGGATTTCGGGCGTGGGATTCTGGAGGGACACGTTCTGCATTATGCTCGCGAGTTGGACGCTATTAACTTGGGAGGAATCTTCGCGGGTCAGTAGGTTTTGTTTCTGCTCCAAGGTCGCTTCGATCGTGTCGTTAGTATTGCCCATTACGATCCCGACGCTCGGCAGAAAGGCGTCGCTTTTGCTTTCCCCGCTCAAGATGGAATTTTCCGTGGCCTCTTCCGCCTGCTCGATAGAGATGTTGCTGCGATTGCCGCTGTTCGAGCTGGAATCCGTGGCGAAATGCAAAGATCCCGTATCGGTCGCGTTCGGCTGAAAAATGGAATTCTCGTAATCGTCGTCCGTGTCGCTGGAAGACTCTTTGTTGTTGTTGGCTCCGATCGTGAAATTGGCCCTCTTGAATTTGTTTTTCTTGAAAGTGTTGCCGATTTTATTCAACTTGCTGAATTGCTGGGTCATGTTTGAGATGGCTTTGGAACCTTGAGAAATTCAACTTTAACGAGGCTTGAGTCAATATTGACGGCACTTACCGACGTTTTTCAGGGATAATAATTGACTCTCCGAAACGTTCCGAGTCATCTGAGGCAATCCCACGATATCTAAATAAATGCTACTCCTGTGAGTCTCGTTATTGATGACTTTCGACTTCCGTCTATCGAGACATTTACCGCAGCTGAACGGAACGGGAGGTAAACCGCAGATATCCAAAGCGACGACGAACGCTTCGCAAATTGCTTTCAGGGACTCTGAAATTGGACCAAATGACACCACCCTTCCGCCCCCTCTACCCACTTACCTATCTCTTCCTCTTCGTTCTTGATAATAACGGCCATGTTGTTGAAGAACCTCAGGTTCGTCGATCGGAACATGTGATAATAGCCCGAAACATTGTCCACCTTGTAGTTAATACGGACGCAAAACCGATTCTTAGTCGCTTTGAATAACGAAGCGCCAGTCTCCGGGATTCCGCACTCGAGCATCGCCACATCTTCGAGGAGAACCCTCTGGTATTTGGTGACTTTGTCGACTTGGTCGTCATAATCGGCGACGAAATACGAATCTTTGGTTAGGATCAAAATAGAGTCCATTTCTGTTTCGTTCGGATCGCCTGTGGCAGGATCGGCGTTAATCAAGCCCCACGAACCCAAGACGAGCTCGGGTTGGTTGATCAACATCTTTTTACAGTCTTCGATGAGGAGTTTGACGTGTTCGGCCGTCGCGGCGCTGTCTTCTTCGAAATGCTGCGTTTTAGATTCGTTGAAGTTATCCTCGGAGACGACGTTGCCTGCAAAATGTGGCTGAAGTCGAGAAACCAACGGAAGAATTACTCACCCAGCATAAGATCGATAGTGCCTTGACGCGTCGAGTCCTTAAATCGGCTCAAGTAATACCTAAACAGAAATGCGTTAGCGAACACCGGAGACTCAGATGGAGAAAAATAAGTAAAAAGCAAAAGCATGTTTTTACGCATGAGATTTTCTAAACAGTTTTTCGCTGCAGTTACGGTGTTATATTCTAGTCGGCTGTTAAAACACGTCAAGGTTTTCTCTAGTAACGCAAGTTAAATAGAGCACTGCTTTTTTCCTTCTCGGCTTTCTAAAGGATAAAAGTCACAAACACCAAAAACAAAGTAAAGACAAAATATATACGAAAGGGAGTTCATGCGGTGCTCGATCATCCGTCGCCGTGTTAATCGTGGACAACACATGCACAAACCTCTTTCGAAAGACCGTCCAACACTTAGAAAACGTTGAAAGACTGACCTAGAGAACTGATACAGGACGTTTGCGAGTTCGAATTCCTGTTTGAGAGCGATTTGGGGCGTATAAGACGGAGGCTCGTCGGGTAGGATTTCGCTCGCGATACAGCCCAAAGTGCGTAAATCGGCCCAAAAATCCTGAATTTCGATTTCGTTCAAATTGACGCCATGCACTATATCTAAACAACACTGCCTCACCGAGTCTTTAAAGTGGTTTTTGTAGTATCTACACAAATCGAACGATTCATTTGAGAAAATCGTCACACGCCTCCTTACCTGTTGGCGGAATTCATTCCGTCTTTCATAATCCCCGTGAATTTGCGTTCCCCAGTTCGAGTGTAGTCGCCCTAGAACGAAACATTGTTTTTAGAATGATCTATGATGCGAGCGTTCACGGAAATGGTACCTTGAGAGCGTTAGTACCGGCGTACTGTTTGCTGATCGTGTCTCCGTTGTTGGCCCACAGAAGCTGAAAAGTGCTCTTGATGCTGTTAGGCATGACTCCTTCCGGTGTAATCAGACCGAGCTTGCAAAACTGCATTTCCATAACGGCCTTACCTAGGGCAGTCTATCAACAACGATGGAGTTGTGTTATACGAATTCGCGAGATATACAAACCTGAACCACGTTGGTGCGATCAAGGCAGTCGATGCAGTTAACACGGAATACTCCGTTCTGGGAACATATGTGTCCTTGTTTATCCCTCCAACAGTAATTCATGTCTTTGATGACGTCGACTAGAGCGTTTATCAGAATCGAGACGTTCTCGAAATGCATCCCTCTGCTAAACGAGGGATCAACGGAAGAATCTTTCAAGATTCGTTACTTACCAGTATTCGTGGAAGTCGAACGTGACGTACGTAATGAAAGGACTGTTATAGTACAAAATATAAGTAGAGTAGGCGTCAAAAATAACCTTTTCTTTCCCAGTTTGGTCGATGAGGTTGATGGCACATATAGGACCGTACTTCTGGATTTCGTTTGAGAAGTGTTTCTCGAAAGCTTCCTTCGTTTCTGCCTCTCCTTTATCTATCCGAGGAGGAGGTCGGTACTTGTAACCCGGCTGAGACCAGTAGACTGGAACGGAACCTCGAACTTGTACGAACGAGACCTCGTGCGTTTTATAAGCTACCAGTTGCTCGGTTTCCACGTAATTGGCGCATTGACCGTCCTCGTCGACTCCTCTCCTTTTGTACCTCGTACCCGCTCTAAATCGGCTACGCCGAGACAGTATACACAACGTGAAAATTTCATAGTTTTTGCCGTCGTTCGGCTGGAAGTCCCGGGGAAGTTCCACTCGACAATTTTCAATTTGGATGTAGCCTTGGATGATGGGCAGAATCCAGGGATCGCACAGAGGGTTCTAAAATACAAATCGTGACCATTGCAAAACACAATCTACCCAAATTCATACATTAAGAGCGATCAAATCGTCCAACATGTGTTTGTTCCAAAAGAACCGATCGTCGACGCTCTTCCACGAGGCCTTCGGGTCGATCAAATTCTGCTTCTCCAAACTGCACAACCTTTGCAAAGAATTAGTCAAATCCGTCGTCTTGGAATAATAGAACGAATTGGTATCGGTGAAGATCTTGTGAAACTCTTCGACGATCTGCCTCTCGAACCGTTCTTTATCTTTGAAGTCGCGTCTCTTTGGCGTTCCTGTGGCTATAGCTGCGGCTTGTTGGGTCGTGTTTTTTATAGTATTCCCTGCACTCTTGAGGGTTCCCCACGTCTTCGTCAACGTTGCGTTCTTCTGGATGTCGAAAATCGAATTTGTGCTTTTCTTTTGAGTGTACGTTTTGTGTTTCGGACATGTTTGTAAATTGAGTTCGACGTTTTCCGGACCGAGCGGTAAAAATACAACGGATTTTATCTTGTACACGTCGTTGTCGCCGTGTAACTTTCCTACTGGAAGACTTTCTTTGATAAGTAGAAGGCGAGGATCGAAAACCGTGGAGTGCTCTATTTTGCCGATGATGCCGTCGCAGACGCCGAGGCAGATGGGGTCGTCGGCGTCGGCCAAATCCCAACCTGAAAAAATTGAATTGTTTATATTTTGTCATAAAAACATTAATCTTGCTCGAAACAGTACAATACTGTATTTGGAAATGAGTGCAAAACGAACCGCCTATTAAAAACTACTTGGAATTTGAAAATTACCGAGCGAACCGACCTTGGTGTCAAACATGCACTTCCGTTCAAGTAAACGTTAATTTATTTTGATAAGGTCTAATGTGCGAGTTTTGCGTGCTAATGGGCACGAGAAGCCGAATTCTCTATTAAGTGGTTGTTGAGTTGGAAATACTGGAGCAATTTCGAGAAAGCGAGTTCGAAAGTGAAGTTTAATTAATGCTTACGAGTTTAATTGTTGCGTAAAATTTTGTTTTCATTGTGGCGATGATGAAAGGTTTGTTGTGAAATTAAAGCGACTTTTTCCTTTATTTTTCAAATCGAGTTAATTTCGTGCGACGGCTTCATTATTGATCTTGTGTAAAGCGTAAACTTTTATTTTTTTTTTTGTGTGATGCGGATTGATTGTATCGAAGGTTTGCTTGCACGCCAAAATTTTTTTTAGAAAAATACCAAGTAATCTGCGTTTCAATTTTAAAACGTTTCGCACGGTGTAGTACGCAATGGAAAAAAATGATTTTAAATTTGTAAATTGGACACAAAATGCGCAAATGATGAACCAAAATCCAACATCTACGGCCCAAAACCAGTTCGTGTTTATCTTTAACAACACACTCACGATCCTTTAATTAATTCGCAAACACGAGGGCTGGAAATCAAAGCCTCCCACTCGAATTAGCTCGGTATTTAATAATGACGTTATTATATTGCCTGTAGTGTAAATAACATCCCATGTTTACAAAGCACTTTTCCAACGAGTTCTATCGATCTGGATGTTTCTTATTTTAGATATCTCCGAAAAGTTCTGTGTAATAATCTGGCTTAACAATGAATCATTAATGCAATATCTATTTTTGTGCAGGTGGCATATCTCGGCGCTGGCCGTGTGTTGTTGGTTGAGTCATTTTCGTCAGGTATGCCCCGCTTATCGCTAAGTATAGTACTGCCACATGCAAGTATGTGGAAGTATGATTATGATGGATGACTCGATTGATTTGATGGACGTCGCAGTTGGCACACTTCGTGCCCACAAAAATCGTTCCTTGTCAAAATTCCCGTTCAAAACAAAAACTGGTGAAAGTTCCATTTTTATGTGCCGTCTTGGTTTCCGCTCTACATATCCTTGCCGCTAAAAAATGCACGACAATCGCCAATTCTCTGCATCAACTCCGAAATAAAGTAAAAAAGTAAACCGTGTCGCGAACTCTCCCACAACAACGCACCCCTAAAATTGGATTATGAATTTTTAAATCGCCGATTCGATTATACGACGTAACAATCCGCTATAAATAAAAACACAAACGAGACGTGAAATTGAAACGCATTCCCGCCGACTATCGAATTACGAGAATCATAAGCCGGAATGAAATTTATCCAAACAATTACATCACGCCTCGAAACGTCAAAATTTTTACCTGTCTTGGGTATGAATGCACCTGTCTGTCTGTCCCACCACAACGAGTATTCGCCATTTATAAATATATAAAACTCGTTCGTCCGAAACAGTTCCATCGTCTCGTCGGATTTTTGTAAAAACAAGGCAATTGTCAACACCGAACTGCACAATTTGTTGTCATTCTGTTACTGTAAACAAAGAGGGAAAGAACACCAACACGTCTTCCCACTCCAGGTTACAATCGATGCTCGTACGCGTGCGCATGAACGAACGCTTTCATTGAGAAGAGATTAAGGGATTCCACGAAGAATGACATCAGCGGGAAAACAAAAAGAGCTCGTAATAAGAAGTAACTTTATTGAGATTTTTATAATTTATTGTTTATTGCCTCTGGGAGCGTCTTTTCTTCGGTTTGTACTTCTCCCAGTGCCGGTGGTTCACCGACGAAAAATCCACACAATTCTCGGCCAAGTCTTTCAGATACTTCGACAACTTAAGAAGTTCATTGTCTTTGTCTCTGTTTAGGTGAGCCTGACGGAAGGGGCGAATCCTGAGCCCGTTTTTCGGATTCATTATGAAATTCCGCCGAATGTCGTCGAACATGATGGTATTCTTGGCGTTGTACTGCTCAAACTTGCCCCAAATTACGCCCAGGGGTTTCACCTAGAATAAAAAAGCTTAGAATTATGATAATTCAATGCGTAAAAAATACATCCATGACGCCATACTTGGGCGTGTGTACCGAGATCATCGCCCACGAGTCCAAATAAAACGCAATTTTGTAATTCGTGTTCGTGGAGACTCCCAACAACTTCATTTTTTCTTCAATCCACTTCATGCCAGTGGCCGACCAAATCACAATATCGTAGTCGTCGTACGCCGACGTGAGAAACTCGTGCAAATAAGGCCTCATCAACTCAGCTCCCGTCTGTGCGGTTGATCTGTGATCAAACAGCGTATAATCAATATCTAACACCAACAACTTTTTGTCCGGTCGAGGTTCATTCAGAACGTTTATCTTGTATTCTTTAATTCTCTTCTCGATTTTCGCCAAATACACTTCCTGGTTTTCTATCGCTACTTCTTCATCTTCTATATCTAAATCGTTCACAACTTCTGGTAAATCGACGGGGGCCGTGTTGGCTTCGACGATGTCTTCCTCCAATGAACCCATCATCATGATTTTGAAACCGGATTTGAGCTTAAGTTGTCCGATTTTGCATTCGTCGTCTGGCGTTTTACCTAGAAATCTTTGCTTGGAATACTGGGTACGAAAAAAGGGCTTACGAACCTTTTAGTTTGAGGTTAAGCAGCTTCTGCCGCTCCGGACGCACTCCAGTTTGTTTTTCTATAGCGTTTTTTAAATCGGTGACGGTGTCGTTTTCGGTTAGTTCGATTTCGTATTCTTTGCCGCTCCATTTTACGTATATTTTGTTTGTTGCATCCATCGTTTTTAAAAAGATTGGGAAGTTGATAAACAGGGTTGACAGGAGAGGGGGCGCGGTTGGCGGTTCGCTTTGACATCTTGATTTGACAAGTGACGTTAGAGGTTATGTTTTCGCTAAGAAATGATGGAAAAAATCAAACACGAAGTTTCTTACGTCTCCTGCAACTGTAATCAGACGCCGACGGCGGCACATTGGGGCCAAAATAATCTTGTTTGTTATGCGGCATGCAACTCTGTCTTGATTTACGATCCTAAAGTGAGGTTATGTCATTATTTCACACATGTACTTATTAAATTTTTTGTAGTGGGGTTCTGGTGGTAAAGTTGTAGCAACGTTAATAGGTCACACAAAGCGTGTTAATACAGTCCGATGGTTGAGTGGATCTAGCGACAAAAATGAACTCGTTTCGGGGTCGACTGATCATACCGCTGTCGTGTGGAGTTGTAGGGAGGGCGTATACAACCCTTATACACTCAAAGCTCACGAGAGTACGGTTAATTTAGTCGACGGTGTGTACAAAAAAGAGGGTACTGTGGTGGTTACAGTTGGGATGGATTCAACTGTAAAAATTTGGTTTCGGAATTTGGACACAGGTTTGTTCTGTTAACTATTGAAAAATAAATAATAATTGTCAGTTTGTAGACGGGTTTGCCTTATCGCAGAATATAAACAATGGATATTCCATTTGCGTGGGTGTGAGAATCTCACGTTTTCCACATACAGATGGTTTAATTTTGGCGTGTGCTATGGACAATTCTAAAATTGATCTCTACATTGAAGATGGAGAGTTTTCGCATTCACTGACTTTAAAAGGGCACGAGGATTGGGTTCGAGGGTTAGACTTCACCACAGGTGACTTCCTTTAAACAACTTGGCTTTTGTCTTAGTCAAATATTTCAGAAAAGGACGATTTGATATTGGCATCTTCTTCTCAGGATTGTTATATACGCTTGTGGCGTATGACCCCCCATAAGTCGGACACGCCTTCTGACAATATAATCAAAACAAAAACTACCACATACAGGGTGTACACAGACTCAATTCTGTCAGGACATGAGGGGTGGATTTACTCAGTCGACTGGAATCCTGCAATACCTCAGTTACTATCCTCTTCTTTAGACAAGTCAATGATAATATGGGAATTAGATCCCGACAGCAATCTCTGGGTCGAAAAAGTCCGTGTCGGGGAAGTGGGTGGCAACACGTTGGGTTTCTATGGCGGCGTTTTTAGCCCTGACGGTACCAGCATTCTAGCTCATAGCTATAATGGAGCTTTCCACATATGGACTAACGAAGGTGGAGAGTGGAGCGCTTGCGTCACAATAGGCGGGCATTTTAGCGAGGTCACTGACATGTCATGGGAACCCCAAGGAGCGTTTTTAGTGACCGTGTCATCTGATCAAACTTCTAGAATACATGCGCCATGGTCAAATTTGGGAAAAGAGGTAGGTAGGCCACGATATTTAAAAACCACAACAAAATTGGCGTGTGCTTTTAGGCTACGTGGCACGAAATAGCGCGGCCTCAGATCCACGGCTATGATATGAGTTCCATTGCAATTATGTCAAAGTATCAGTTTGCTTCGTCAGCAGAAGAAAAAGTGATTAGGACGTTTCGGGCTCCTAGAAATTTTGTCGAGAATTTTTCGCGCATTTGTGATGTGGCTGATGATGGAGGAGGGACTAGTGGACCTAAAGGAGCCTCTGTACCGTCTCTGGGGTTGTCAAATAAGGCTGTGTTTAGCAGTGAAAGTGAAGGAGGGAGTGACGATTCGCATTTTACTGCTGTGACGCTTACAGGTTTGTTTTTTTTTTTGTAATATTTTTTTTCTTTAAGTGTGCGTCTATAGGAACTAAAAATCACTTGATAATAAAGTTTTTGTTATCTTGTTTCAGATTATTGTCTAGATTGTTTTGTACCTTCTCTCGCATTTTGTGTATTTTAAGGCTATTTCGAGCATTACAATAAGCAGCGATAAGGTAGTCCGTAATTTGTCTATTCTGAATTTACAAATATTATCTGAAATTCCCAAACTGATTTGCCCTAAAACTTTATGTGCATTCCAAAATTACCATGATGATGATAACCCTTTTAAAGAATTTATGACGCGATTTCAAAATTGTATTAAGTAAAGCGTACTTGAAATGTGTAAGGCGACATAATTCTTTAATTTTGGTTTCATAGTAAATCCGTGTTTTGTTCAAAAAAAATAATTTGCGTGTTAAATATGTTGAAATAATCAAGAGAGTTCGAGCTGTATCGATTTCAGTTTTTTTTCATATGCTAAACTAAATTATCGATGTAAGTATGTCTGCCTAAATATGTCGTCGACCCCAAAAATGAGAGAAAACAATATAACCTATATTTTAGAACCACCCACCGAGGAAACTCTCCTGCAAAACACCCTCTGGCCAGAAATTCAAAAACTCTACGGCCACGGTTACGAAGTCTACTCGTTGGCGTCATCTCCGGACGGCCAATTTCTAGCTTCAGCTTGCAAAGCCACAACCTCAGAACACGCCGCTATACTACTCTGGGACACCGCAACTTGGAAACAAATCCAAAAGCTCGTCTCCCACACTTTAACAGTGGCGCAAATTTCCTTCTCCCCCAATTCCGTACATCTCCTATCGGTTTCCAGAGACAGACGGTGGTCTCTGTTTACGAGAAATTCCCAAAATTTATTCGAACTGGTAGCTACGACGGACAAGAAAACTTCGATACATTCAAGAATAATCTGGTGCTGCAGTTGGACACACGACTCTTTGTATTTTGCCACCGGCTCTAGAGACGGGAAGGTGGTCGTGTGGCGAAAGAACGAACACAAGGAGGAGAAGGGGATTTTGGGAGAGTACGAAGCTGCGTCCAAACATTTGGAACTGAAAGGCGAATCTGTGACGGCAGTTGCATTCGCACCGAAGTGCGTTTTGGGGGGTTATTTACTGGCTGTGGGACTCGAAGTGGGAGTTATTCGTTGTTATAAATGGACGTCAGCAGGATGGGAAAATCTTGTCATTTTAGATAGAAAGTAAGTATGTGCATTTTGTTTTGAAATAATGCAATTGACGATTTTCAAGCTTGGCCCACCACCTGTCGGTGAAAAGGTTGGCCTTTAGACCCTTCACCGTTGAAACGAGAGCCAAAAATGACGACAACATTCTACAACTGGCGAGTTGCGGGAGCGACCATGTCGTCAGACTGCACGATTTTTTAATAAATTAATATTTAAGGAGCAAGTTTGTTTTATTGCAGCGGTGTACGTCAAGGTCGACGTCTGCCTCCGCCATTATTCAGAAACGAGATTAATCAACCCGATCCTATTCATAGTGGCTACAATAATGAAACGCTTTCTGATTATAAATATTGCGCATTTGCGAAATTTATTAAACAATAGTGGTTTGCATGAGTCCACGCCGCGTATGTCCGCGTCGTTATAATTTGATTACTCGTCAAAGCGCGCACTCGCCCAACGCACAAGGAATTTAAATTTTTTCCTGTGATGTAGATGTTTCGTATTTTAATAATAATTCCGTTGAATAAAAGATTAGAGAGCGGAAAGAATGCGAGGATGCTCGAAAAGAACCAACAAGGAATTGCCATTGTCGTCGGCAGGTGTAAGTATCCAGCTTAGTCCAGATTGAAAGAATCAGCATAAGCCACCACCAATACCTGCAAGTTGGGAGTTAGTGTAGTGGATTTAGTTCGGCTGATGCGGAGGATCAGGGTACATCCGGCCGCCTTTCGCCTTTATAGAAATTATAATTTTGTTTCGAGACGCAGCTTCCTCGTGGAGGCGTCGATTATTCTCGTTTTTTACGTATTTCCGGCGTAATAAACTTGCCCTTTGAAAGTGGCGTGGATTGGGTAGTATCCGATTCTGATTAAAAATTCGCAGAAATGAAGAAACGCCAGGATCCAAAGGTGACGTGAAGCGGTGGCTGATAGTGATCAAAGTCGATGCCGTAACACTACTCGTCTGCGTACCGACATCAAAGAGTAACTATATTATTGTCGAACGTTCGCAGTCCTTTGCGCAGTAATATAAGCTTCTGCTGGTTTTAGCAATATTAAAAATCGCTCAGATCGGCAGACGCGATGAGTGCGAGGCGACGACGCTATTTATCAAAATAAATTTATGACTCGAAATTTGCGAAACTCGAGTAAATTCGGAGGAACAGCGCTCGGGGTTAATTTCGTATCGGTGGCGAGCGAAAGTTGTACGTTTCGAGCTCGTCTCGAAAGCAGATTATATTCTGAAATTGCATTTTTCGCGTGCGATGCATTTTATATTCCGACGAGAGGAATGAAAATTTACAACCGACGTAAGTCGGGTCCTGTGTTTACAACATTCAAAATGACAAATGGACGAGATTCTGGTTGTGCTGATGTTTATTGATACTAATGATGGAACATTAAGCAGGAAAATAAGGCGAACTGCTACTACATTTGTTTCGCTGATGATGATGGATGCAAGGGCCTTGCGGTAAAAATCTTTTAAATAAAATTATAGAAGACATTTCTGGATACTGAAGAAAAGAACGAAATGAAATATGCCTATGGTGTAATAGCTTTTGCTGCAAAAACAGGGAACGCGACAGATTAAAGGAAAAAATTGCAAAAAGAAGCAGTCATCATTTTAATTGAAACCGACAGTGAAAACAAACAAAAAAATCAATTACCACACCCCTGCACGATTGGTGAAACGGCAAACGGGTGGTTAGAATGACATTCATACGTGAAAGGCTGGCGACACCCCAATGATACCGCGCATTAAAGAACTCGTTGCCGTTGAATTACTGAAAGAACGATTACGTTGTTATATTGCCCATTTTCAGTTAGAAATTAGTCATTTCGAAAACCTTTCAGACTTTTGACTATATACAAATTTTCGAATATAAAATTTGGCAACGTTATGGAAAAACAGATAAAAACGAAACTAAAAATATAGTTTTGAAGATTTGCTTTCAGGTTCTTGTGTGAAAATATAAACATGAAAATTTAAAAATTACATTTGTATAGTGAATGTGGCACTAGTTTGATTAAGAATTTTTCGCAACGAACCTAAATATAAAACTAAAAATTTTTTATCCTCGACTTTTTTCTGTTCTAGTTTGATGATGAGTATTAACCGTGCAGAATGTTTTTAGGCAAAAGTGAGCTGTGGATTTTTTTTCACGTTGAATAACAGAACGGTTTGTCTGTCAGTGCGTGAGAGTGACGTTCACTTGAAGCTAATTTGCCACATTATTGTTATTTAGAAATCATATGATATATGAAGTTGCAACATTTCTGACTTCTTTCATTAAAATTTAAAATACCGAAAATTATTTTATTACAATAAAAAGGTGCTATCTGCAAATGAAAAAAGATAGTCGCGAGCTCAAGCGTGAACAGTTAATGATGAGAATAGTGAACATATTTTCTGCGACTTTTAAAGTTTTTAAATACACTGACCGGCGAAAAAAAACCGCCCACCCTGAAAAGTTTCGTCAAACCACTTTAAAAATTATTAATTTAACTAGTGATCGTTATTTTATTAAAGAACCATTCACTATTATTGACACATGTTGTACAAATGACCAAAAAAAGAAGACATATAAACGCAGAATTAAATTTAATTTAACAAAATAACAGAAACAGACCAAGTACGATATTTTCTTAATTAAAACATTGTTGAGGCTGTTGTTGTAAACAGTGTTTTTCATCATTTGATTATAAATTTGGCAGTTAATAAACGTTTTCACGCGAAAACAATACCGTTAACCCGTACAGACGTCTCTCAAATTGTCGCTCTGTTTCTGTTATTTTGTTAAATTAAATTTAATTCTGCGTTTATTTGTCATCTTTTTTTGCTAATCTGTACATCATGTGTCAATAGTGAATGGTTCTTTAATAAAATAACGATCACTAGTTAAATTAATATTTTTTAAAGTTTGGTTGTGCGAAATTTTTCACGGTGGCCGGTTTTTTGCCGGTCAATATATTTATTAATTCAAAAATTTTTGTAACTCAATCAGTCAGTCGTACTTATTGGAATGGAAGCACCGGCAACAGTGTTGCAGTTTTTGTCAGATGTTCTAACCTTATATTAAAAACAACCTAACCTAATATAATAATTTTAATTTTTCATTAGGGATCTGTGAATATATGAAATTGGTTGCCAACCAAATTTCTATTTATTTTAGAACGATATATGTATATTGTATATAGTTGCATTGTCAACCTTGTAAAATCTTTGTCACTCTACAATTCTATGAAATAAAGCTATTTTCTAGTATTGTCCGTTTCTTTTGCGAGCTCACTCAGTTATTTTTACGGTAATATAAGTTTTAACGTTGAAAAAGTGATTCCGTTCGCGTCGTTTTATACATTTCTTTTTAGTAAAGTAAGTCAAAGTATCAAATATTGTCAGATTTCTGCATCCGAAGGATTTTCATTTATTCTCCGACAGTCAAAGCAAAGTTTGCCAGCTCCACGAATCATTATTTATTACGTTTTATTGAATGTTATTTCAGAAGGGATCCGAACTTTTTCCCCTTATCCGAAATAATTTTTGATACATCTCCGCTTGCAATTAATATAACGATTCGAAACTTTCTTCGAGATGTCATCGAAACGCGTCCGGTCGCCTTTACCAAAAGCTAATAGGAGGTAACGACCCCTCGAATCCGCCGAACGTACAACGCGTGCTAATTAAATCGTCCCTCTTCCGCTTGTGTGCACATTTCGTGCACGCAGCGATTTATTTTCGTAATTTATCGGTCGGCGTCCCCGCGCCGCCTACCTCTCGTGGTCGCCGTCTCCGTGGCCCAGCTCGTGCACGAGCCCACGCTCAGGCGTGGTAACTAGCCGCCGCCGAGCTGAGCTCAGCCGGGTGAATAGTGTGTCGGATGGTGGATGCTGGAAGCTGAGGGTGTGAGCCGGGCAGGGTAGGGCTGCAGCGAAAGCGCCGCCGCGAAGCTCTCGAGACCGGGATCCGCGCACGCACTTCGCGATGAAGCTTGCAGTGGTACACAACAGGCAGGGTGCGCGTCGTGCCTAATGCAGTGTCCGATCGCTCGCCTCTAAAACTATCCGACTATGGCTGTGAATCATGCATTTTACACGTAAAACATGTTGTGGATATACTGTGGACTGGTTTTTCTGGCCTCGGCCCTGCTCGAAGCCGCGCTGGCCGTCTCAGTCACGTCTAAAAGAGGTAAGTGCATGCAGCGGAACCATCCCTAACCTCTTCTGGTCCAGGAGATGCGGAGACCGGCGTGCCAGAGGGAACGTCGACCGTCCCGCGACGAACGAAAACATTTTTTTCAACGACCTCGTCGGGGGAGGCCTCGTTCCTCTTTTTTCGGCACAGACGGTCTTACGCTGTCTGTGTCATCTAGGGGTTAAATACGGTTGGGTTTGAGAAGAATTTTTTCTTTTTTAAAGTCGAAAGCTCTCCGGAATCCCGTATGCCAAGCGAAAAGTTTGGCATATTTTTTCAAGCCGGGGCTGGACGTGGAAAGTGGCGTTTCTCAATTTTCGGCACGAGTGCCCGTATGCCATCTGTCGCGGTTTTGAGCCGTCTCCAGTTTAAAAATTTCACGCTTACGAATGGCGGATGCGCCGGGTTTAGGCGAAAGATTTCTTCTGCTTACCCGCTAAAGATAAAGGCGAAACCTCTCCAAACAACTCCGTTTTCGTAGCAGAGGCGCTCTCGGTGTTTGTCATTCAACAAACCGATTTTTTAATTAGGTTTGTTTGCCGGGGAGGGCGAACCAGGAACCTGTTGGAAGCGACTTACTTTGTAAATAATATTTTAATCCGTGCTCGTATAGGCGACGTGATGGATAGGTTGTTTAGATGCACGGAGGCATCCTAGGCGACATTGTTATATGCACATGCAATTCATAGCTGGTGTTGCCGAGAGGATCCAGTCTGTCTTCATAAATCACGGCCTCCTCCATTTACTTTCTCGCCATAGAGCAGTGCGAACGTCGATAAAACCCTTCGACGAAAATTTGACTCCTCAAAGTCGGTTAATGGGCTACCATAAGTGAGAGTGATGCCGTCTTGTTTATGTTTATGCAACCATAAAAACACCGACTTTCGTAGCGCTATCAAGTTCCGTATGCGGATGCGTTTATTTAGAAAATGAAACGTCTTTGTCGCCAGTAACAGCTTTGGCGTTATTCGGAATAGCCGAATTCATAAAATAGTCACGTAATGTGTGTACAACGCGAAATATGGAAGGGGGCGATGATGCACTTCGGAGATCAACCACGCAACAGTTAAAATATTCATCGCCACGATGAGGAGGCACCTTTAAGCGCGATGAAATGTTAAGAAGAGTTGTGCCAAACGGAGATTTTCTGATGGGTTTAGACCGACATTTGGATTCTGGAAGGACCACTTTTCTTTCAAAAATTCAGAGGCGGTTGTTTCGAGACGTCATTTAGATTTGGCAAGAGGTTGCGATTCTCTCGACGGTGGAAACCACAGTCGGGATCATTTAACTATGACAGTACGAATAAATTCTTCATAAGAAAACACGCCCGATTGTTGTTCGAAATTCTTGGCGAAATTATTTTTACATGTTTTTTATTTGCGAGTGCTCTCGATTGCGTCGTCATTTTGTTGTAGGAGCGCTCATTTCAATACAATCCGAGAATCAGAAATAATGATCGCAAAGTCAACAATTTTTCGAGCGCACTCAGAGTTCGGGTCTTTTCCTCCAGGTCTCATAAATCATTAACCATAATTGAAAGGAGCTCCATTTATAGTTTGCGCAAGGAGTGAGTCGTTGCATTGTCCGGGATAATAAATTTCCGTGCACCGAGTTGTTCAAATATGTTCCGCGCAATTATCAGTCATACCGAGCCGCATGATGCATTGTAGTTATTGCCCGCGAACTGCCGTTCTTTTCTTAAAAACATCACCATCCTTCCTCGGCGACCCCGCCTCAATCGTAAAATAAAACCAATCGGGCTCCGTAATGAGGACGCGCTCATTCATCCGAGAAATTCAAACCAATATACATCGACAATATCTCTCATCGTCGTCTCGTTCCACACATTCATTACCATACGAATTTCACCAGTCGACGTCTTAATCTCCAGAGGCTCGTCTTTCTCGAAAACGCCGTCGATGATCAATTAAAAAACACGCCGGATCGAATAATTCGATCCAGCAATTAGCCACACGTTGTAACTTTGTTAACAAAGGCCTTTGCCTCGAGCCGTTGTGGTCGTATTAGCTAATACGTCGTCATAAATTCTGGCTTCGTTAAGTTGTTGTTGCTTAGGCGGACGGGAAGTTGGCGTCTTTATTGAGTTTGATAACCATCAAACTATAAGTGTGACACTTTGTAGTGCATGTGACGGCGAGTTTCGGCTGCACGCACAACAGCTGTTTCGGGGGATGTTTATCCGATATAAAGAACGTCGGAATTTCGACTGGAGCACGCACGCGGGCGGTTGGGCGAAATTTTTCTTATCGAAAATCGCGTAATTACCGCTGTCCTAGAAGCATAGTCGCGGCAAAATTCGGCCTTTTGACCACGTAATTCGACTTGTCGAGAACGCGCGTTCCTTTATTTTTGTCGCGTGTTTGTACCGTCTCGAGGTCGAAACTAATAATACTTAGCGACAAATGGCGGATGCGCCGGTTTTAAGAATGTTTCACACATGCCGAGAAAGCTCGGGTCAAGGATCCGCCGATCGGAGTTTCCTCAATGATGTCGGTGAATAAATTACCGGAGTCTCTCCTTTCTTAATATCTCCTCTAACAAAGTAAACGATGTTTGTTAGGTCTTAGGCAAATGAAGACAAATGAGAGACATTATTACCTTAGTTTGGCGAGGGCATCTGTCAGGGCGTATGCTGACGTAGACTAGAAGACGCCCCTAGATGACTGCTTCATCCTCTCTCAATGTCTTTTGCTGACTTCTCAAATTGACAAATTAAAGTTATATATGTGTCATTATTGCGGCCTAGTCATCATTGAAGGATGCTTTCGTTGCCGAAAAGAGGGATCAGCGCTTTATGTCGTGGCTTACGTAATTAATGATCAGGATCAGTTCTTTGCCGTTTACCGCATTTTATATAACGCACTGTATAATTTTCCGATTTTATTTTGGGAGTGGAGTTTATTGTGGGGTATTCCGAATAAGCGATAAAAACGTTCCGAGGCTTTGTTTTACGGGAAGTTAGCGCCGATTTTGATTAATCCAATTTGGCAATTCGACACCACCTTTTATTACCCGTTGCCATAAAAATGGTGCAGTAGTTCGGACGAGTATACCAACTAACGACGCCATCATCCCGATCGGTTACGTGAGTTTTGTTGAATCGACGTTTAAAACGAATCTCGATCGCATTAGCTGCATTTATTAATAGATATGGATATTATTTGACTTTGGCGAAGAATTTAATATTTCCACGTTAATAATAAAGTTAAGTTTGGTTCCTTCGTTGTTACCGTAGAAATTTCTCCGGCGTCTCGCGTGCTTCTCTGCCAACCCGTAGTTGAATCTACCAATAATGACAGTCTGCCTGCGTCTTATTTATTTATTTTTCGCGGAAAGCACTCAAAATCTCGTAGGACGTTTTGCCAGTACCTACTAAAAAGATTCCCTTCAAAGCATTATCGAAGAAATTGCGGTGGAAGCCGAAAACGAAAACTGCTGGGATAACAAGCCGAACCGATGGAATTAAAACAATTCGAGGGCAAATATCCGCGACGATAATATTGTTTTTATGGAAACGAGGAGCAGCTCGAACGAAAATACTCCACAATCAATACCACTGAAAAGTTTAAAAGCAAAACACAAATCGGAGAACGTCGGCGTGGCTTCGCCAAGAAGGAAGCTGCCATAATTTAATATTGGGAGACAAGTGCACTTCGGTTACTTGGTACCTTCAAAACGACTCCTTCGACTTTGTTAATTTCAGCGTGCAGTCGAGAGCATGCATCCACTACTCACCTCTTTCATTAATCATCCCGTTTTTTTCGAAGGTTAATTAAAATTTAATTAATCGTTTTACAGTTTCTTATCTTGCATTCTATTTACGAAAGCGAGGTCTTATTTAATTTGTTTCCTGAGTCTGCGCGAAACAAACCTTTCATTTCGTATTTACATTTGGTCGAAATTTAATTATGTTGCGGAAAAGAAAGAAGAATCGAACGAATTTAATTAAAGGGAGAGAAGGGTCGGGGGATTCCTTGCAGATGTTTGTGTTATTTTTAATTTTCGTTTCGACCAATTAAGCTGATTAATAATTTGGATATTAATGCAGTGGCGTAACAAAACGACGCTGCTCCCTTTGTGTCGTCGTCGGTAGAATAAAGCCAAGTAAATTTAACGTCATTGCGTTGCAATTAATCAATGTGTCACGTCGCAAAATTGTATTACATTTTTCGTTTGTGCGCAAAGCTTTGATCTGGAAAGTCTCCTAAAATAAAAAAAAACGCAATAACGGTGAAAATTGTATTGTTTTCAATTGCGAAGAGGGCTCGAATTCGCATTCGAGACAATTATTCTGGAAACTGGAGCGATATAATGAAAAAAAAGCCTCCGGAATAATAAATGATGCTCAAAAGTCTAAGTAAGGAGCAATATATCTCCGTAATGAGAATATCAACATGTCAACCGAAACTGATTGCTTTATAAACACAAGTCGGGGGAAATAAAATGTCAATATGGACGGCCGTCGAAGCGTGGATAATTGGACCGCGTTAATTATATTCTTGACGTGTTCGTCAGGTAATGTTTCCGTTTCTCTTTGATGTGTCATCTAGAAAAGTTTCCTTGGTCGTTATCGCTTCCCTTATGGGAGACGCTTTCGAGGCAAATTCTGAACAAAGTGGGCGCAAAAAGCTCCACAATTTTCACACAAAAGAATACCATATTCTAGGTGGATCTCGTCTTTTTCTCTTCGAACGATTGGCTTAGTTTCGTGGGCGGTCAGGTTGGAAGGTGGAAAAGAAACGCCGTTCAACTTGGGGCATAATTGAAAATATTCCGTTTGTTGAGGAGATTTGTTCGATTAAGAAGAGATTACTCATTTCGTACGGTCGACGTTCTCATTCGAGAACAACCTTATTTGTGACATCTCGACCGGGTGCAAAATTGCATTTATTGTTTATCGAACGCATCCGTGATGTCGCGCCGCCCCCGTGCCGCCATTTATTTTTCAGATTTAATTTTAATTTTGAAAA